GTAACGCCGATTAGTCGTGATAATTTTAGAATTATCCCACCCAATTGTACGGTTAGTTAGGCATGTGTGCTCCGATAAAGCTGAATTTTCCTTTTTGCAAAGGAAAACCGCTTTTTTGTGCTCTTTTAACCGTGTACCAAACTGACGTTTGGTCTGTCAAAATCTGCAAACCAGAGTAGCATCAAACTATGTCTGATTCTCCACCTGGTTGCCGTGTGAACTTTAATATATTTTATCAAAAAAAGTGTTATCAAAATGCTATCAGACGTTACGAATACGAACTACGACAAGTACCTTGGCATCAGTAAATGTCTGGAATATCGGCAATGTATGGACAAAATACTACATACTAAAGTTGGTGTACCAATAACAAAATTCAAGAAACTCAGCTATGGAAAATTTAACGTGAGGGCACTCACCCTTTTTATTGGCAATGAATAGCAGTTATTTAACTAGTTATTTCAATCCACATTTGTTTCAGTGTGGACCTCTCCACCTGCTCACGAAGAGCGTTTCTTCGTTTTGATCGGTTAGCGTTCTCTAGGTAGTTGATTGTGCAAAGTGCTTAATTTTCATCGGCAGCTTAACTGTCCCAATTGGCCTGACAGATTACAAGTGTTTGTAACCAGACCGGTAAAGTCGGACAGTTTGGACTTGAAACTGTCAATTAAACCACAAATTAGACCACTTAGTAACCACACGACATATTCGTGCGATTTGTAATTGACACAGTTGGGATGATTAAACTCGAAGTCACGCGTATTTGTGCTCATCATTTATTTAAAATCTCCACACACCTACGGCACGAGACAAGAGTCGGAAAAATACAAAAAAGAGAACAAAAACTTATAAATAACCTCAAAATAACGAAATCTATTTTAGAAGCATTTAAAAACGAAGAGGCTGCTTCTAAGGAGGGGACACAAATATCGATCCACAAGACTAAATTTCTACAAAAAAAAATTACAAATTACTCGACGGAAATTAAGTAACAATACACAACGATGTGAACATCAACTTAAAGCACACAACGCAGCCAATGAAACATACAAAAACTCACAGGTAATTAAAACCCAAACGCGATACACACAGGGAACGGTATGGCAAGAGTTTTGCAGTAGTGATAGTGATAATATTGGTAACAATGATAGCGACAATAGTATTTAGACTTAAAAAAATTGATCTTTAGCTATATTATAGCTGATACATAATACTCTAAGACTTTCCCAACTAAAATAATATAGTCATTGTCTCTCATTTCAGTAAATTTTTAATCTCTTTATACTTTTATTTGGCATGTAGTTTCCATCTCATGCAATTAAGTTTTTGTTCTTAAAAGCTTTAGACAGAGGTGCAGTCCTATGATTTTTAAATTCGTCTGTTTGTACATGTTGGACGTGGATTTTTTATTTCACAAGAATAAGCTCCGCGATAAAGCTAATTTGGCTGCAAAACGGTCACTTATCACAATTGTCTCACCCACTATTCCTTTTTTAAGTTTTATCGCTAGCGATTGACATTTTAGCACTACCGATTGGGTTTTATCAATTGTGATTAATATTTTTAGCACAAATGGCTTCCCGTAAGTTACAGAGGAAGCCATTTGCCAAGGTTGCATTTATTGACAAAAACTCAAACTAAAAGTACTGGCTCCCCATTTCTCGTGCTGCTATTTCGGCAAATAGAACGAACTACCGGTAATTGCCAGTTTTCCAACACCAACTAACTCTAGCAATCTTCTCATAGCACTGTTTGGAGTAGACGTCGCAATTTTCCATGTGCTCGAGTTGAGTCTTTATGAAAATGATAAAGCGGGAATGGGTAATATTTGTAAGATCAGCGGGTGACGTGTTCAAGTTGTTGCCGATTGCATCCCTAAAAATTTGAGACGGTCTTCGCGCATGTTGATTGTTGTCGGGAATGGTGTTTGCAGCTAACAAACAAAGGCAGATATCTCAAGTCTGGCGTCTATGAGTTCGATCTCGCAGAGCTCGATCGATACCGGTATCGACAAGGAACACAACATTACCGAACACTTAAATTACAGCTTCCGTTGGAACATGTTTGTTGATATTTAACAGTCGGTTAAAGACTTGCTGGTATTGAAAAGTAACACCTTATGAAGGTGTTTGAAAAGTTCTTGCAGAACCTTACCAGAACTGGAAAACCAAACAACAGTGCCGAACCCTCCATCGAGTTTAAGGCTACTGCGGTTTTAGCTTATGTCAAAGGTCTGTGGGAACAGCTTCGCCGTTGCCTACAACAACAAGGCGTACGCGCTGTTTTCAAGTCGCAGACTACGAAAGTTTATTGATCGTGGCCCTTGTTACTACACGCATAGGGTCAAAGAGGCAATTCACATAAGACTTCACCCTAGCAACATCAACAGGGATAGTGGAATAGAAATTCCAGAAGCGTGGATGCCCATGATCAAAAAACACAACAACAAGAGAGCCGTGCGACAGCGGACCGCCGAGGGAGTAAATCACTGAGTGATCGATCAGCAAGGATCGAAATGCACCAATCAGAGCTGTTGAAAAACAATCGATCACTGCAGAGCATCATGCTTTATAAGTTCACGCATGACCAGTTGACCTCATCGCCTGAAGAAGACAAGCAGTATGAAGTCGAAAGGTCGCGATCTACATTACACGTGACTACATCGTGAGATAAACGAAAAACTGAGATTTTATTGTTTTTCACCACGATGAATAACCACAACCTTTTCTACCTTTGAAGTTTTACGTCAAAACATTGAAGTTTACATAAACATGTATTTACATAAAACATGTATTTATCACGAGCTAGGAAGTAGTAAGCCGACAAGGGAGACCCAAAAATGTTTTTACACCCAGAAAAACATGTTGAATCGTAGTTTTTTACATAAATCCCATGCTGCATGACTGGTGAGCCTGTAGTAAAAATAAATTGCCTTGTCCATCTCAAGGCATCAATAGGACACGATCACCTTGGTCATTTTTCGCGATTTCAAACATATTTCTGAATTTCACAAAGAGTATTAGATCGCAAATTATTTTTGGGTTTTCAATAGATTATTTGTGGAGACGTTGATCCAATCAGAAGTTTTAATTGTATTTTAGATTTACAATAACTTTTCCGGCAATAATTATTTATTAAAAACACTGTTTCAAGTTAGAATCGATAACAAATCTATACTAGCACTAAAGATTGAGGTTTTGCGATAGCGATTTCTAATTTTCACAAACGATCGGTGGCATCACAGACGATTGTCATCCTTATGATTGCTGAATTTGAAAATAGCACAAGTCATACAAGTTTTACAATATCAATTGACATTTAAACATAGGATTGATATCTGGCGCTATCGAACTGCCTCGGAACACCAGCGATTTATAATTAGCGATTTTACAATGGCGTTTGGTGCAAAACACAAGCGATTGAGGTTCAACACGAACGACTGACCATTTTAGAACAGACACTAAATTAATCTACAGTTATGATTTGTTGCTAGCACTAACGGTTGAGTTTATCTCAAGCGATTGATATTTTAGCACTAACTACTGAGTTTTGTCTCTAGCGATTGATATTTTTGGCACAAATGGCTCCTCATACTAAATCTCGTTCAACGATGGTTATCTTATACGACTTAATATTTACACACCGGAAGCTAGTTTTGAGTATCCCATCAGTTTATCTCTTCGGATAGAAATACATAACCATTTACTCATCAGACAGATGAAGTCAAATTCGTAGATCAGTATCGTCCCCAGAGGGACTGATACGGTGAAATGTTCATTCATGATCAATTGTAGCGATACATTTCTTTCTTAAAACTCCCCAAGTCAAAAATATTATAATGTCTTCGTCCAGTTCAATCACAGGCTTCATGGGATGTTAATTGTGTTCATCGCCAAACGTTAAAGAGTCAGAAAACTAAGAAAAGAAAATGGCTGATAGTTTAGTCTTTCATATGCCAAGACTGCTTCCTGCTTCCTCCAGTTTTTCTAAATTATGCTCAAAATTATGATTTATTTTATTTGTTTGTTTGTTTTTTTTTAATTAAGCTACTTTTTTACCTCATGGTATGAGGTCAGTCAAACTACGAGGTTTAGGTATGGAAAGAAAACTCTCTCACCCACTCTATTCTGAGACAATTACTTTTTGAATTAAAACCCTGTCTCCCCTACTAGGTTTGCTTCTGTTCCTAAATTCTCGCTATTGTCTGCTGATCGAATATTTAGGGATGAGCACAAAGGTCAGAATTTTTTGCCTTATCACATGAAGTAATGAACACAATTCAAAATGAAGTCTATGGTCCGGCCTTAACATAGAATGATCTACCGTACTGTAGCTGGTTTTTCTTTCTTTTCGTTTCATCCTCTCCATCTGAGTGGCACACTTGCAGAAGAATACTCAATTGGAAGGAGAGGGCTTCCAAATTTTTAAAATAAATATGGAAAGATATTGTCTCCCTGCGTAAGCCATTTTAATTCCTGTCGACTAGGTGTTTTTTGCGCATGCGTTTGGCTGCCACCTGATCACATTTCTTCTGTTACTTTGGAAATAAGATTTATTTGTCATTATGTATGTGTGTGTCAACTTTATTTATGGAGGGTGACGACAGCCAGTTAAAAACCAAGCCAAAAATTACTCAAGGTTAACGTCGTTCTTCTTTAAAACTAGATGCACAACAATGAATGAAACCTTTTATAAAACTACTTACACTTTCACTTTGTTAAACAAACACAAAATCATTTTAAGTTTGAATTCATGCATCTGGAAAACAAAACAAAGCAAAACGAAGCAAAAAAAACTAAAAGTAAGGACGTATTTATCTCAATACATCGAAAGGCAATTCGGATTCAAGATAACTGTACGTGGAGAGTAGTTCTGATCACGTTTCATGCGCGAAGTTTGGAAAAATTCACGCTTCAAACAGCATTTTAAACAGCATTTCACGCGTCACGAGTTTAAAAAGGATGCATGCTTTAACGAATCCACAAATTCAACGTGTAACTTTAAGTTTTCGAACCCCATGCGTCATTACTAAATTCAGATTCTCTTCTGTTATCTTCTAAGTCTCCCTTAGACCAGACTGAAGTTTCATCCATAGTAATTTTGGAGCGGAATGTCTTCCCACTCAGACAGTTCCCTGTGGTTTGCAATAGAGGAGTGTGTCCAAAGTCGTCATTGCGCGTGATCTTAAGCTCTCTGCCACATGATATCATGTCTGGGTTGTGTGACGGGTCAGTGGTTTCTCCTGCAGCTTGAGCACTGTCATACCACCAGTCTCCTAAGTCATCCATCCAGTATTTAGTGTCACTGTTTGAAAACCGAGCGAGGAGAGTCCAGGCCTCATCCTCTGATACCATGTCACAGTAAACCTGCAAATAAATAAAGAATTCCATGCAAACTTGCATTTTATGATCCAAACTTGTTTTAACGTGAACTGTCTATAAGAAAGGAATTATGAATTCCAAACATTCTTATTTTTTAACGGTACAAATCTATTTTTTTCTTGAATTGTTTAGAAATGAAGAATAATAATTAAGTTACTAGAAAGTTCTTGGATTTAATTTTTGTCTCCTGGGGCTCCAGCCAATATCTACCGCTGACCGCCATCCCTTGTTCGCTGGCTTTGATCTCACCACAAGACTCGGCAGGCATCTCGGGAGCGGAGCCTACAGAGACTTTGGGAAAGGAACAGTAAAATGCTTTTCTTTTGATAAAAATTACCTCCTTGATTGTGTGGTATTGTCATGTTCAATTACCAACCTAACATCATTTCAGCGAGGAATATTCCAATGTGGCCATATTAAATCGCAAGATACTGTAAGGAATTAAATAATTTCTTGAATGCTATAATATTACATCTGATGTGATAAGTTTCATTGAATGGTTAAAACACGCATGCTCTGAAGGTAACATCTTGAGAAATGCCCTGAGCCAAACACATTAATTTCTTATCCCTATTAGTCTTAGACTCTCCGGTTGGACAGAGGAGACTCGTTCTCCCAACCCCCCTCACTCCAATTATTGCGAGGCTTTGATTTGATCTGATGAACTACACAAGCGATGTGTGAATTGTATAGAGAATATATCCGAGCTTCAACCTGGTCCCAGGACAACGCTGACGGAATCAGTCACATTTGAATACAGTGACATTTTAATAGTGTACAAAACACCTAGCATCTATGAATGAGCTTTAAAAAGTCCTCTTTTCTCTCTATGTGTCTGTCTGTCTGTTTATCTTGCACCTCTTCAACACAACCTCTACTCCTCAAAAATAGCTGAACATGTGTTACCGTCATATGCAAAATTTAAAAATTTATTAAATTGCTGAAAATTTTGGCTTAACGATACCAACCAGGTGTGATTGTCCAAGAACTGAAAGGAACTTGATGTTTACAGCCGTGAAAACTATTCAGTTTTTACTAATCTTTTATATAATAATGATTTTAAAGACTATGTTATTGCCCGTACCTCTGTTCTTCCACCGTCGCACGTAGAATCTAGTTTCATCTCGGACAAAATCTTCAGGTCTTGCTTCTTTGGTTCTGTTATTTAGCTCGCAAAGTTTACCAGTTTTGACGTAATTGTAGCTCTGACATGTGAGTTCGCTGTAGCAGAACATCAGACACTCATACGGATCTTGTACCCGTTTCGATTTAAAGATGTGACCTTTTAGAGCCTTTCCACTCTCTGACTGCTCAACGGGTTCACATTGCAGACTGATGGCCATGCGCAGAGGAATCAAAGATGAAAAGTAGAAAATATAGAGCACTGGAAACATCTGACCTGGATAGAGTTGTACTGCAGAGGCAAACAAATCAGTTAAAACGTTCATGAACAGCGTGAGAGGCGGTTCTTAACATTAGCAATGCAAGCACCGCGTTTCTCCCTCTCCGTTAAGATTTGAAATGAATTGGGAGAGGTTGCCAAAATTCGGCCGCTAGACCCGTTCCAGACCTCTCGCTGACTCGCGTTGCTAAAGACTGCATACTTTCCCGCTAGCGAAGAAACGCTCATGCGCATGCAAGGGCGGATAATGAGGGCCTGCTTAAATGGTGGGTTTAAGAGGGGATCGAGGGCTGCTAAAAACGAACGATATATCTAACTTAGATAAGAAATGTTTTTGACATCGTTTTAGAAAAAACGCTTAAGCTGCAACGTATGGATGAAGCGAAAACGTCACACCTTTAATCTGCTGCGATGTATTGCTTAGGGCAACGGAAAATTCGCAAAGTGTTAAGCGATGTATTGGGACCATGAGAGTAATAGCTTCGTTATATGAGATATCGTTTGAACATCGTCGTCATTTCCTAATTTTTTTGTTAATCGTCGATTGTTGCTTGTGATACTTATGTACAGTACTACGTGAGGATCTCAATGGTCAATGGGGGAGGGGGGGTGGGCTTGACGGTTGACGGTTGATTTCAGTTTGCGATTCTGACTGTTCACGGTTTGATTTTAAGGTCTTTGAAGATTAAAAAAATTAGGGCCCTTTTTTCTCCTATCAGGTCTAATCAGTTTTTTCCTTTTTTTTTAAATCGATAGAAAACTTGATTAGAAAACGGTGCAAAGTGAAGTGAGCGATTAAAGCGTTAAGAAAAGGTTGTGAGTGAATCACGCTGCTCGAAACCAGTCTTCAACCGACACCGAACTTGTTAAACTTGAGTACCCTTCAACAGATCGGAGGTTTTAATTCAACCTTAACTAACGAAAAATAATTAACCACTGAGCCAAATTATATTCAAAATGCAAAAAAGCCCAAAATATTAAACAACAGAGGCACTGGACGAAGGAACATGTCAAAAACCCGAACAAAGACAATCAGGTACTCATGGCGTCTACAGCCACGGAGCCACAGAGAATCTGCGGGAAGCTCGTTGCTCTCTTCGTTCATATTTTGCACATATCCTGCATACTGCAAGAATCAGTAATGTCAATAGCCTCATATGAGTTAACGGAACGCGAAAGATGGTAAATTTTAGGCTCAGTAAGAAAGGTGATCTTTTCGTTTCGTCACAAACGTTGAATAAAGAGGAAAACATTTTATGTCTCCGTGAGGAATCGAACGTTACGGACAAACTTGAGTATTTAAACAAAAAGTGAGATCTGTACTCCATTGAAATCTTGGCGATTTTTTTCATTAATAAAAACTTCTCAAAATTCTTTCGCTTTTTTGCCTTCTTGCAATACCTGGAATTGGAACATTGAGGATTTTTTTGTTATCGAAACTTTTTGCCTGGGAAAATATCCTCACTGTGATTGTCCGATATCCGAAACTTCCAAATCATGCCACAATGCACACTTCTGTCCTATTTCGAAGCATTTTTAGTAAAATTATGCAAATCTACATTTTCAACTTCAAATATCACTACATAAAATTCTGACTCAAAATCTCAAGAACAAGATTGCTTACCCTTCGAGAATCAGTAGCGTTCAGGGTTTCGGTTCTTCAGGTTTTTTCTCACTGGACGAACCGAGAAATGACCCAATTGTTTTCGCCGGTTATCCCAAAATGTTTATGATAATATCAAATATCGTATAACTGGTAATTTTTACGTAGCAATGTTCGACTTAGTTTCAATCAACCTCAAATTTCTTCAGGCTTCATCTCTTCATAGTTTTCGCTACCTCTAACACGTTTGCTTACCGTATGAGCTTGTAGTATTCCTGTTTGATTTTCCCTCACAACTTCCAACTTTTACAATGTTTACTTTTTTAATTGAACCAATCTCTTTCGATTGGCCTCTAAACTCCGCTTTGTAAATGAAGCTGAAATTAATTTCGTTTCGGGAAGGGTGAGGAAAGTAAAAAACAAACATCCCCTTTTTACTAAACGTCATCTAGCAGTAGAATGAGTCCTCAGGCAGAAAATAAAACGAAAATGACCTTATTTTGCCTCAAATGCAATTGCATAACTATTTTTTAAGTCAAAATTTAGGCAATATTGACGCGAAATATATGCTGAAATAATCGTGACTCAACCTCAATTCCTTTCCCATTATGAATCATTGATGATTTTTATGAAAAGCGTATGCAATTCGAACTAGGTTTATTGCTACTAAAAACGTTGTGGTAAGCAATTATGACACGTTGATAAACATTCATTGTGGCAAACTCTCCATATCAAATTGCTAGAAACTTCCCGCTAAGTTATGCTTATGCTAGAATTGAAAATAGAACAATGAGAAACACAACAAAATGTCCTTCATTATTTATACTGTCCTCCGTTCATCGCAGTTTAGCAATTACACGAAAATATAGAAATAACTAATAAGAACTTTATCAAAGGACTTGAACTCATTTTGAAAAGGTCTGTGTTTGACTAACGTTGAGCAAAGAGCTTGCTAAATTCACCATGTTCCTACAATTAATTTTTCTGGGGTTCGAAACTATTCATTTTTATAATAAGCTATTGAGAAATAACGCTCTAAAACAGGTTTTTGAGTCAGAGCTCAAAACCTCAAAACCTCTAGAAATAGAATGATAGCATTGTTTTTTTGTTTTTCTGTTTTTTTGTTTTTTGTTTTTTAATTTACATAATGAAATTTAGTTACGGCGTTAACCAGCATAATACTTCACACAAAACTAGCAGCTTTCCACCAAGCTGTAATATTTTCATTTTGAATTGTTTTCTCTTGAATAAAAGATAAAAGACACAAATGAAAACATTAAAGTATGAAACGGATACTGGCTCAAGCCATTTTCAGGTAATTTTCAACTGCATAAAATTATGAATTCACTCAATCATGACAAATGGATATTTATCTTCTTCGCTGTACCAACTTTAAAATGACAATTCTTTAGGTAACTCCTCAGAAAAGGATGAAAGCATTAACAAGTTTCTTTAGGAAAGTTTTTCCCAAAATGTGAAGAAGCTGGTGTTCTTCAATAAAAATATACGCCCTGTTTTAGTTTCCATGGAACGATCTGTGTGGCGAAATCCCAGGATGCACAGTCACCTCGCCATTTAAAAATTAAGAACGTGTGGAATTCAGAGTTTAAGGAGGCCTGACCTTGTCACCTCCACAGAGTAGGAATGAATTTTTTTCCGTTTCTTTTGGGGCGAAAAATGTCATTAGTCAGTTTTTTCCGTCTTTGCTTTGAGAAGTTATGGTTGAGAATGAATGAATACGACGAAGAACATTGCCCTCAGTTATTCAAGTTTCGTGCGAACTCAAGTCGTAATGATAAAAGAACTTACCTTGACTTACTTCAAACGTTTGCTATAATTGCCTTTTAAGTGACTCAAACAGTCCAAGATATTTGTAGTCTCGAGAAACTTTTGGCCCTATAACATGTTCTACTCAATGTGTTATATTTCGAGAGCAATTTTGTTAAATGTAAATGCGGTGGTGCGACAAACGTAATAAAAGCAGGTGTTTCAAAGATTTTTGAAGAAAATTTTTGAACAAAGAGAGGTGCAAGAACTAATTTTTTTTAAACAAAGTAAAAGTATAATTGATTTCTGTAATGTAATTTACAGTCTTTTCTTTCGATTTAATCTATAATTTGATTGGCAAACTGTACCTTAATGGTAATTTTCTTTCAGGAAGAACATGAAATAATAAATGCCAACTGTATGTGCCAAAAGCAATGAATAAATGAACAAAAGGGATTGGTTTCAAAAGAAACTGGGGAGCTGTTAAACCTTCTCAATCATGCAATTATTATACCCTCTCCTCCTTAGGGACCATTCTCAATCCACTTCCCCCTCCCCTTCCCCTGAGGAAGGGGGGTGAAAAGTTTTGTGGAGGGATCATAGGATTTTCAAGCGAAACAACAGGGGGAGAGTAGTTGTGGCCCACAGCGTATAAAGGGGGGAAACTATTTGGTAAATTGTATCGTGACACAACCGTAATCCTCTGACCCGAGAGTTTATTAAGCTGATGTTACGAGCGGAAGTTCTTCGTCAGAGCATAAGATGAAAAAGAACTAACCATACGGTGACCAATTTACACTGTAAACTCATGAATGAAAGTGATCCTCGCTGTAATGTACACTACTTGAGCAGAAGTGAAGGTAAGGCCTGAAAAAAATTCAGGCCTGTACGGGATCTGAACCCATGACCTGTAAACTTAGTTAATTAAACCAAATTATCTTGTACTTGCATAATAGCTTTTATTGCCAGTTTAAGTCCTTCCAAAAATCGTTATAAACTATTTTGATATTTTCAGACAATTGTTAACTCGACAACCTGCTACCTGCTCGGAGGTAGGAATGAATAAATAATGAAGCTTGAAATTCTTCCTGTTATTCCAATTTCAATTCTCGAAAAGGCTTGGTTTTTCTTAAAGCTGCTAGCAATTTGAAAAGGGCCAAGCGTTTTTGATCTGACGATGAATTTACAATTTTTCTTTTTTCCTTAACCACAAAATATATTAACTCTGGTTATGTTCACTTAGCAGGATATAAAAGCCAATGAAGGGCATTTCAAATTTATAATGTAAACACCCTTGGGTTTATGTTAGGGAAATAAGTTATAAAAGTGTCCCATAAACACGGACTTCGAAATGTTATGGAACATCGTTATGCAGAAAACTGGAAAATGCATTTGTTCCTGCGCTAGTGAACTCAAGGGACATCAGATGACATTCTTTCCGTGAAAACGTTTCGGAAGCAATGGATTTGCCATATACTGTTTGCCAAAATATTTGCAAGAAGGCGAGGTGTGCTGTGGTTGCAGGCGTGCTATTTTTACTTTGATAAGGTTCTCTTATTTAAGCAGGAAAA